TCCCTACAATTTGGTTATGGTTTGGATAGCATATAAGTCAAAGCTGCAGAAATATGACTGAACATCTAGGATACAGGTCCTTGGCTTGCTGTTCAGTCATTCATGTTTTGGGATGCAATTGCAATACAAAGGTGACCAAATGTATGAATAGTTATTTTGCTATCCTAAATGCGCCTATCAACATTTGAATCATTTGAATATGTTTACAAAAATACAAAGCAGTTCTCGGACTTCCCAGCACTACTGCTATTGTCTTCTGGCAGGGTTGTGTGACTAGGAGCCAGCACATTGGTTTCCCCAGAGAAGCGTAAAAGGATTGTGTGGCTAGGAGCTTTCCCCAGTGAAACATGACCATTTTCAAACCTGATCTTATTCCCTCCATGGCAGAGAAGGAGCGAGACAGCTCATACCAAGAGGCTCCTCTGTGTAAGGCTCACCCCAGACCCATCCTGCAGACCCTTCCTCAACGGGGCTTGGAACAAGAGGCAAAACATGTGTCTGAGCAGGAGCTTGCCCTATGTGCCAGGCAAGGACAAGCCTTTAGAGATCCCACTGCAGAAATCCCATCTCTCAGCCCAGGACCTGCACCTTCCAGGCAATTTTCTTCCCAGTTGCAGCTCCTCTGCCTCTCTTTTTCCTCCCAACCTCCTCCCAACAGCCCCTGCTTCAGGAAAAGGCTGCCCCAAAGCCAGAGACCTCACCTGGACCATGCCTACACGCAGAGGGAGGGATGCTTGCTTCTGCCGCAGGCGAGAGCTGCAGGCACACGACCGCGATGACGAGCCAGGCTATTTCTACTTCTCTGTCACCGTCACCGTCACCGTCACCGTCACCGTCCCCGCGGGGTCTTGGAGCCAGCTGGGAATTGCAAGGCCCTGGTGCTTGTGCCTGCAGCCCTGATTGCTGTGTGAGCAGGATCGGGGATTAACCCTCCCTCTCCCTCCCGTTGCTGGAGGAATTTCACCCTGTGACACTGTTGAGAGAGGTGGTTGTGTTGGGCTTGTGTAGACTGGCTTTTATTCCAATTGATTCCAGCTCCACGGGTCATTTGCCTCCATCTGTGTCACACATCAGGTGAGATTTGGACAAATGTGGTGTCACTCAGCACCTTCATTTCTTGCTACAATCACAGACAACAAGGCTGTGACAGATTAGGGGATCCCCAAGGGTCCTCCAACCCCCTGCTCAGGACAGGAC